ATCAATGAAAATATGTTGGAATATATTGATGACCACCAAGTTGTTTCATGATCACCAAGTGATCCTCAATTTTCTATAAAAATATTGATGATCACTAACAGATTAATAAATTTCTATAGAAAATTTTATAGTGATCAAGAATTTTCTATAGAAAAGTCTTTCGATCAACAAATGATCAAGAATTTTCTATAAAAAATTGTTCTATTAAGAAGTGATCAACCATTTCTTATAAAAAAAATTTCAATTACCAAGTGATCAACAATTTTCTATATAAAAGTTTATCGATAACCAAGTGGTCGACAATTTTCTATAGAAAAGTTGATCGATTATTAAGTGATCGATAATTTTCTATAGAAAATTTGATCGATCACTAAGTGATCGATAATTTTTTATAGAAAATTTAATCGATCACTAAGTGATCAACGATTTTCTATAGAAAATTTAAGTGATCAACAATTTTCTATAGAAAATTTAATTGATCACGAAGTGATCAACAATTTCCTATAGCAAATTTTATAGATCACTAAGTGGTCAACAATTTTCTAAAGAAAATTTAATCGATCATTTTCTATAGAAAATTTGATCGATCACTAAGTGATCAACAATTTTCTATAGAAAATTGTGATTGACTAAGTGATCAACAATTTTCTATAGAAAAGTTGATCGATCACTAAGTGATCAACAATTTTCTATAGAAAATTTGATCGATCACTAAGTGATCAACAATTTTCTATAGAAAAGTTGATCGATCACTAAGTGATCAACAATTTTCTATAGAAAAGTTGATCGATCACTAAGTGATCAACAATTTTCTATAGAAAAGTTGACCGATCACTAAGTGATCAACAATTTTCTATAGAAAAGTTGATCGATCACTTAGTGATCAACAATTTTCTATAGAAAAGTTGATCGATCACTAAGTGATCAAAAGTTTTATATAGAGAAGTTAATCGATCACTAAGTGATCAACAATTTTTTATAGAAAAGTTAATCGATCAATAAGTGATTTTCTATAGAAAAGTTGATCGATCACTAAGTGATCAACAATTTTCTATAGAAAAGTTGATCGATCACTTAGTGATCAACAATTTTCTATAGAAAAGTTGATCGATCAATAAGTGATCAAAAGTTTTATATAGAGAAGTTAATCGATCACTAAGTGATCAACAATTTTTTATAGAAAAGTTAATCGATCAATAAGTGATTTTCTATAGAAAAGTTGATCGATCACTAAGTGATCAACAATTTTCTATAGAAAAGTTGATCGATCACTAAGTGATCAACAATTTTCTATAGAAAAGTTGATCGATCACTAAGTGATCAACAATTTTCTATAGAAAAGTTGACCGATCACAAAGTTATCAACAATTTTCTATAGAAAATTTAATCGATCACTAAGTGATCAACAATTTTCTATAAAATAGTTGTTCTAGTGATCGACAACTTTTATAGAATAATTGTTCGATCATTAAGTGATCACTGATCATCTATCCACGAACGATCGACAACTTTTATTGAATAATTGTTCGTTCATCAAGTAGTTAAGTAGTTAAGTGATTAATAATTTTCTATAGGAAAGTTGTTCTATCATTTGGTGATCAACAATATTTTATAGAAATGTAGCATGATCAAAAATTTTCCGAATTTTCAAACATTTTTTATCGAAAGTTATTTGATCATAAAGCGATCTACTTCTATCTAAATTCTATCTATAATTTGAGGACCATTAAGTGATCAACATCTTTCTTAATGGAATATTGAATGGTCTCCATGTGATCAACAATTTTCTATGGGAAGGTTGTTCTATTACTTGCTGATCAACAAGATTCAATAGAAAAGATGTGTTCTATCAACCATTTTTCATAGAAAAGTTTTTCGATCACTAAGTAATTAAAACTTCTTTCAAACAGTTGTTCGATCAACAAGCGATCAAGAATTTATCGAAAATTGTCTTTAGCAAAATTAATCTATCACCTGGTGATCGAGAATTTTCTATAGAATAGTAGTTCGATCAATACTAATCTATAGAAAATTGTTTCTATAGGTTTACAGGTTCTTTTAGAACAGTTGTTTGATCGTTCTGAGATAGTTTAAAAGTAGTATCTTATACATTTTTGTATCCTGTTTTAGTCTAAAACTTAGTGTAGCGTATTTAAGTTAAAATTCTTCTGTAGAGGGTTACAAAATGATAAAAAATGCAAATATTTCTTCTTTATTTCACATATTTTTCTTTTATATAAGAAATACAAATTTATGTACTCTTCAAGATAACATGTGGATAATTTACGACTTTTTTTTTTTATAAATTTTTGTGAAATATTTCCCTTTTTGAAAGAAAAAACAAAAATAAACCAGTAACATTTGTTTAAATAAACGTTAAACCTAAGTTATATAAAAAATAAAATTAAAAAATGAAAAGAGATGAGAGTTTGGTTAAACATTTCTATTTTCTCTATGTCTAACCAATAAAAACTTAAACAATTAAAAAAATTTAAAGTGTTAATAAATTTTATAATTTTTTCATGATTTTATTAATCATAATTTTTATATTTTTTATTTATTTTTTATATGTAGTTGTTATGATTGTATAATCATTTGACAAGTGTTGTTGTTATTGTCAACCATAAATGTTACATTTGTCATTGTAACTTGTTACAAATAAGTCAACGCCGATAGAGAAAGAGAGTGAGTGAGAGAGCGACTTGTTGTCTACAAGTACATTTACCATTTCAAGTGTCATATTAACAATGTCATTTGGTCAATACAACAACTACAGAATAAACATGTTTTATATATTTTTTTAAATTTTTTGTTGCAATTTTATACCGACACAATGTTTGTTGCTGAAATTTTTTAATTGAAATACGTAACGAAATATAAAGTAGATTTTTATGGCAAAAAGAATTTAGTTATATAGATCAAGATTTTTGAGATTAAATGTCACAACAGTGATAGTGACAAACTTAAGATGAAACTTTTTTGGGACAAATTAATTAAAACTACTAAGTTAAGTGAATATTCTAAATTTTACAAATAGTGTTGATTGAATTCTATAATTGTATGTGGGTACCTTTTAAGAAACTTTAGTTTTGACTTCTAATATAAAAATTCCACTAACCCTATTTTTTCCTAATTATTCCCATTATATATGCAACATTTCTAATTAAATATTACAAAAACGTTTCAAGGAAAAATAAAACCCTACAAAATTTCATAATCTTCCCTTGTTGTTAATTGCCACCAATTGCACCATGCATTCATTTTCCCACAATTAAAAAAAAAAAAAACATTTTCAACAACAATAATAACAACAAGAAAAAAATCTCAGTTCCTTAACCAATCATAAAATTATGTTGCATTTTTAGTACTATATGTAAAATGTACATTTTTTCTCTTCAACATTACAAAATTTCTGTTATTGTGTTGATAAAGTACTTACAGTTTAAAGTCAACTTTTTGTATATCCGTAACTTAACTTCCTGTCATAACTTTTAACTTGTTGTTGGTGTTTTTGTTGTTTTCATAAAGTCTGAGTTTTAAATATTTGATGTTTTTAGAGTGTGTGTATGTGTCTGTGTTGCAAGTATTATTTTCATTCTAGACTGGAAATTGTCTGTCCGTCCGTCTTTATGTTTATTTTATTTTTGTATTTAAGTACATGGATGTAGAAGTTTTTCTTACAAAAAGTTATTTTCTGTGATTTTTTTTTTCAAGTTAAAACTGAGTGAAACTTCCTACCGCATGCATGATATTAAATTATGTAATGTTGTTGTTTTTTCGCTTTGTGATTTTTTTTATAGAAAAAAAAATTATGTCTGTATATCAACTAAATTAAATGTGAAAAAAGTGCAGCCATATATTTTTTATATAAAAGTAAACTGCTGCATCTTACAAGCTAAAATAGAGTTGACTCGTATATCAAGTTTTTAATGTCAGCATGAAATAATATCCGTTTTATGTTTCTGCCAGACTTTTTTCACCTTAAGACCAACATATGAGTTTAATGCGGTTTTTATAGAAACACTACAGCCTTTACCAGCAAACATTCTAATATCTCAACAATGCAATATTCATAGTCTAGTCTATAGTCTAGTCTATAGTCTAGTCTATAGTCTAGTCTATAGTCTAGTCTATAGTCTAGTCTATAGTCTAGTCTATAGTCTAGTCTATAGTCTAGTCTATAGTCTAGTCTAGTCTAGTCTAGTCTAGTCTATAGTCTAGTCTAGTCTAGTCTAGTCTAGTCTAGTCTATAGTCTAGTCTATAGTCTAGTCTATAGTCTAGTCTATAGTCTAGTCTATAGTCTAGTCTATAGTCTAGTCTATAGTCTAGTCTATAGTCTAGTCTATAGTCTAGTCTATAGTCTAGTCTATAGTCTAGTCTATAGTCTAGTCTATAGTCTAGTCTATAGTCTAGTCTATAGTCTAGTCTATAGTCTAGTCTATAGTCTAGTCTATAGTCTAGTCTATAGTCTAGTCTATAGTCTAGTCTATAGTCTAGTCTATAGTCTAGTCTATAGTCTAGTCTATAGTCTAGTGTAGTCTATAGTCTAGTCTATAGTCTATTCTATAGTCTAGTCTTATCTAAAGTTTAGTCTATAGTCAATTCTATAGTTTATTCTGTAGTCTAGTCTATAGTCTAGTTTATAGTTTATTCTATAGACTAGTCTATAGTCTATTAAATAGTCTTATCTATAGTTTATTCTATAGTCTATTCTGTAGTCTAGTCTATAGTATTGTCTATAGTCTAGTCTATAGTCTAGTCTATGGTGTAGTCTATAGTCTAGTCTATAGTCAAGTTTATAGGCTAGTATGTAGCCTAGAAAAACAAACATTCTTCTATATATATATCTATATTACCACCCAATTTTAAGTAGAGTGTTTTTTATACTGATTTCAACCGCATAAGGAACTTCTTGGTTTCATTCTTCTTTATAGTTTCATACAATTATTACTGTTAAACTTACCAAACAATTCTTTTTCATGTTCTTTTCCATTTTCAGGTTGTCATCATTTACCACACACAACAACAACAGAAACATCAACGAACCCAATTTCAACGTTAAAATAGAAAATTGTGTGTATTTTGCGAAAGAGATATAAAAAATTTTATAAATGTATAAAATTTATATTATCAGATTTTAATTGAAAACGTGCTTAATTTTTTGAAAAGCAAACTCGAAAAATACACATAAAAAAAATTACTCTCCGATAGCAGAAGGGGGAAAAAACCCATATAGAAAACTATCGTCATGACAGTTAAACTGGCCAAACTGTTTGGTACATCCACAACAAGTAACAATTCATCAGCACAAGTGCCACCACCTTTGCCGCCACCAAATCCGGCACCAGTTTACAATTATTATAATCATCCACAGTTGCAACAAAAATTGCAAAAGCCTTATAATCCTTATATGGATGATGATGACGATGATAATATGTCTTTGTATTCAACTACAGCCTCGATTATGACATCACGCGATCATCCGTTCAACAATTCCCAGCGTCCTTTGTTGGCCGATAGGAAACCACAATTGTTGTTGACACAAAATAACAACAATAATAAAAAGAAAAATTCAACCACAAATCAACAGAATTCTTCTTCTCAAACTTCCTATCAGCAACAGCAATTGCTAAAGCAACAACAGCAATACAACCAGCAGCAGCAACAACAACAACTTCAGTTGCAACAGGAAAAATCTTATATCTCACCCTATGTACAACAACAAAAACGTGATAGTGTTAAAGGTTTGCATGGCTTCAATGATTTCGATATTCTATCCCAACAGTACAATCAACACTTACAATCACCTCACATTGGTTATCCCTATGGCAGTCCACCATCACCTACTCGCACTTCAACACACACAACAGCTACAGCGTCATCCACATCAGCCTTGCAAAATATTGCTGCCAACAATACAACAGCAATAACAACAACGGATTTTGTATTTGATTCTTTGGCAACGACATACGGCAACAATAAACAACAGCAACAACATCAACCATTTGCTAGCATTTCAACTGCCTTAACCTCAACACCACGTTATGGTAATATCAACAATTATGGTTCTACAACTAGTGCCAATGCCTTCTCATCATCATCCACCTCCTCCAATTCCACAACTAACATCATCTCGAACTCCTCACGACCATGTTATGATGCTAATGATGCTGATTATTACACAGCAAGACCTTCAACGGATGCAATGTTGGGTAAATCATCTCGTTTTGAAGATGATTTTTGTAGTCGTCGTAATCTAGACTTTTCTAAGAATACTCATCTTGATGGCGGTGTCGTTGAACATCAACAGCAGCAGCAGCAGCTACAGAGTGGTCCTTTTATTTTTGGCATGCCACCAGAACAACAAACTGATTTTACACGTATGCCTCATGGTGGCCGCTCATTTGGTGATATCTCCGAAGATTCAGGCATAACAAAAGATGATGATAAATACTCAGCCAAGAGAATGGTAAGTTGAAAACCAGATTTACTTATGATTAGTTTTTTTTTTTAACAAATTAATTTAAAAAAAATGTGTAAATTCTAGTCTTACGTCTAGTCTAATATCTAGTCAAAATCCTGGAGTAAAGTCTAGCCTAAATTCTGGTCTAAAGTCTGGCCTAAAGTCTGGCCTAAAGTCTAGTCTAAAGTCTAGTCTAAAGTCTAGCCTAAAGTCTAGTCTAAAGTCTAGTCTAAATTCTGGTCTAAAGTCTAGCCTAAAGTCTAGTCTAAAGTCTAGTGTGAAGTCTAGTCTAAAGTCTAGTCTAAAGTCTAGTCTAAAATCTAGTCTAAAGTCTAGTCTAAAGTAAATTCTAGTCTTACGTCTAGGCTAAAGTCTAGTATAATACCTAGTCAAAATCCTGGTGTAAAGTCTGGCCTAAAGTCTAGTCTAAAGTCTAGCCTAAAGTCTAGTCTAAAGTCTAGCCTAAAGTCTAGTCTAAAGTCTAGTCTAAAGTCTAGCCTAAAGTCTAGTCTAATGTCTAGTTTAAAGTCTAGTCTAAAGTCTAGTCTAAAGTCTAGTCTAAAGTCTAGTCTAAAGTCTAGTCTAAAGTCTAGTCTAAAGTCTAGCCTAAAGTCTAGTCTAAAGTCTAGTCTAAAGTCTAGTCTAAAATCTAGTCTAAAGTCTAGTCTAAAGTCTAGTCTAAAGTCTTGTCTAAAGTCTAGTCTAAAGTCTATTCTAAAGTCTATTCTATAGTCTAGTCTAAAGTCAAGTCTAAAGTCTAGTCTAAAGTCCAGTCTAAAGTCTAGTCTAAAGTCTCGTCTATAGTCTAGTCTAAAGTCTAGTCTTAAGAGTAGTCTAAAGACCATTGTAAAGTCTAGTCTAAAATTTAGTCTAAAGTCTAGTCACAATTTTAATCTAAAGCCTAGTGTAAGTTCTGGTCTAAATCATGTGTAAGATCAATTCTAAAATATTGTCCAAATTCTAGTGCATAGTCCAGTCTATAATCTAATCTTATCCAGTCTGTACTCTAGTCTATATTCCCTATTGGGAATAATGTGCAGATTAGGTGAAACATGGAATGGGGTTTACTCTTTTAGTAAGAATCGATGGAATTACGTTGATTTTAAAAATATTTTTATTTTGCCGGTCAGACATCCTAAAATCCATTTAACAAACAGCAAATCGGATGTCGAGTGAACAATTAAGTTATATAACTTTACTAAAACATTTAAATAGAATTCTATGAATTTCATGTGGTTTTAAAACTTGTACTATTCCTAGTACTTATAACAGATACTAAATAGAAATTAAAACATTTTTCTTGCTTCAACGAAAATTACGAACAAACCTCTAGTATATATAAGAGACTAATAAATGCTCTACATTTTGTGGTTTTCTATACCTAAAACACCACTACCATAACATACAACCAAAAGTGAATACAAATATACATAAAAACATGAATTTTTAATCTTCTTATAGTATGTTGCAATATGCTGGTTAGTTATTATTATTATTATTGTTATTGCAATATTGCTGCAACAAAAGTGTGTTTACTTTGCTTTTAGTTAGTTTAGTTTAGTGTTTATATACATTGCCTCAGAATTGATAACAAGCAACAGCAGTACCAACAGCACCCAAAATAATAAGAACAACAATTATAATTATACACGAAAATCTAAAATTTAAATAGAAAATTCATAACTAAAGATAATAATTTAAATCACACATTGTCTAACAATAGAGACAAACATAAATTGCAACACATTTACAACATTTATATGATATACAATGTAAATTGTAAGAGTAAACAGTTTTATGAATACAACAACTTTATGAAATATAGCAACTAACTACTTTACTACAACATGTTGTACATTGTAAGCTTCATTCGTTATTGCTGCTGGAACTTATGAATATTTAGAATTTATAAATATTTATTTTTAATAAATAAAAACTTAAACAAATTTTTCGACAACTCGTTGCAGAAGAAGAAAACAAACACTTTTATTTTAAGTCTCACCACACAGTGTAACATGGAAAATTATAATGTATTTAATATTGTGTAAGAATTGTTGCATGCAGTTTTATTCATGCTCTAGTATATATGACTGTTTGTTTGTCTGCTTGTTAACATTTTACCAGCCCATCCATTCATCCATCTATCCCTCCATCCAACTAACTTATTGTTTAAATATTTAACCATGTTTTACAAATATTTAACACTCTAAAGTTTTTTTTGTGGTTATTAGTTTAAGCTTAAAACCTCAACATTATAATAGAAAAAATAATTAAATAATAAATTAACAAAGCAACAAGAGCTAGAATAATAACAACAACAACAAAAAATCGACTTAAATAATACTGAATTGTGTTTAGTGGTTTTACAACATTAAGAAGGAATTTTGGTTAAACGCTTTAGGCGAAAATTAAACAAGAACAACATAAAACTTATTGAAAACTTTTGTCCATAGTCCATAGTCCATAGTCTCGTCCATAGTCTGGTCCATAGTCTAAAGTCTAGTCTAGTCCATAGTCTAGTTTAAGCTACATTTAGTCTAGCTTATAGTCTAGTCTATATGTATAGTCTAGTTCATTTTCTAGTCTATGGTCTATTATATAGTCTAGTCTATAGTCTAGTGTATATTCTAGTTTAATCTATACATAGTATAGTCTATAGTCTAATCTACACTTTAGGCCATAGTCGGGTCCATAGTCTAGTCCATAGTCTGGTCCATAGTCTGGTCCATAGTCTAGTATATGTATTGTCTAGTTTAATCTATACATAGTCTAGTCTTTAGTCTTTAACCAAGTCTATAGTCTAGTATATAGTCTAGTCTAGCCTGTAGTCTAGTCTATAGTCTAGTCTATAGTCTAGTCTATAGTCTAGTCTATAGTCTAGTCTATAGTCTAGTCTATAGTCTAGTCTATAGTCTAGTCTATAGTCTAGTCTATAGTCTAGTCTATAGTCTAGTCTATAGTCTAGTCTAGTCTATAGTCTAGTCTATAGTCTAGTCTATAGTCTAGTCTAGTCTATAGTCTAGTCTATAGTCTAGTCTATAGTCTAGTCTATAGTCTAGTCTATAGTCTAGTCTATAGTCTAGTCTATAGTCTAGTCTATAGTCTAGTCTATAGTCTAGTCTATAGTCTAGTCTATAGTCTAGTCTATAGTCTAGTCTATAGTCTAGTCTATAGTCTAGTCTATAGTCTAGTCTATAGTCTAGTCTATAGTCTAGTCTAGTCTAGTCTATAGTCTAGTCTATAGTCTAGTCTATAGTCTAGTCTATAGTCTAGTCTATAGTCTAGTCTATAGTCTAGTCTATAGTCTAGTCTATAGTCTAGTCTATAGTCTAGTCTATAGTCTAGTCTATAGTCTAGTCTATAGTCTAGTCTATAGTCTAGTCTATAGTCGTCTATAGTCTAGTCTATGTCTAGTCTATAGTCTAGTCTATAGTCTAGTCTATAGTCTAGTCTTTAGTCTAGTCTATAGTCTAGTCTATAGTCTAGTCTATAGTCTAGTCTATAGTCTAGTCTATAGTCTAGTCTATAGTCTAGTCTATAGTCTAGTCTATAGTCTAGTCTATAGTCTAGTCTATAGTCTAGTCTATAGTCTAGTCTAGTCTAGTCTATCTAGTCTATAGTCTATAGTCTAACTATAGGTCAAGTCTATAGTCAAGTCTATAGTCAAGTCTATAGTCATAGTCTATAGTCTAGTCTATAGTCTAGTCTATAGTCTAGTCTATAGTCAAGTCTATAGTCTAGTCTATAGTCTAGTCTATAGTCTAGTCTATAGTCTAGTCATAGTCTAGTCTATAGTCTAGTCTATAGTTAGTCGGTAGTTAGTCTATAGTAGTCTAGTCTAGTAGTCTAGTCTATAGTCCTAGTCTATAGTCTAGTCTATAGTCTAGTCTATAGTCTAGTCCATAGTCTAGTCGATAGTCTAGTCTATAGTCTAGTCTATAGTCTAGTCTATAGTCTAGTCTATAGTCTAGTCTATAGTCTAGTCTAAGTCTAGTCTATCTAGTCTAGTCTATAGTTAGTCTATAGTCTAGTCTAGTCTAGTCTATAGTCTAGTCTATGTCTAGTCTATAGTCTAGTCTATAGTCTAGTCTATAGTCTAGTCTATAGTCAGTCTATAGTCTAGTCTATAGTCTAGTCTATAGTCTAGTCTATAGTCTAGTCTATAGTCTAGTCTATAGTCTAGTCTATAGTCTAGTCTATAGTCTAGTCTATAGTCTAGTCTATAGTCTAGTCTATAGTCTAGTCTATAGTCTAGTCTATAGTCTAGTCTATAGTCTAGTCTATAGTCTAGTTTATAGTCTAGTCTATAGTCTAGTTTATAGTCTAGTCTATAGTCTAGTCTATAGTCTATAGTCTAGTCTATAGTCTAGTCTATAGTCTATAGTCTAGTCTATAGTCTAGTCTATAGTCTATAGTCTAGTCTATAGTCTAGTCTATAGTCTAGTCTATAGTCTAGTCTATAGTCTAGTCTATAGTCTAGTCTATAGTCTAGTCTATAGTCTAGTCTATAGTCTAGTCTATAGTCTTGTCTATAGTCTAGTCTATAGTCTAGTCTATAGTCTAGTCTATAGTCTATAGTCTAGTCTATAGTCTAGTCTATAGTCTAGTCTATAGTCTAGTCTATAGTCTAGTCTATAGTCTAGTCTATAGTCTAGTCTATAGGCTAGTCCATAGTCTAGTCTATAGTTTAGTCTATAGTCTAGTCTGTGATCTAGTCTGTTATCTAGTTTATAGCCCATTGTCTAGCCTGTTATCTAGTATATAGTGTAGTCTATTATATAGTCTATAGGCTAGGCTAGTCTATAGGCTAGTCTAGTTTCTAGTCTAGTCTATAGGATATAGTCTTGTCTATAGGATATAGTCTAGTCTATAGTCTAAGTATAGTCTAGTCTATAGGCTATAGTCTTGTCTATAGTTACCTTAGCATCCTTGTGTTTTTCTGTGCAGGGCAATATATGGTCGATCTTGTCCGATTTTTTTACTAATTTCCTTTGACTTAATCCCAC